CTGCCAGGACCCTGCGTGGAGCGCACCGCTGCCAGGACCCTGCGTGGGGCGCCCCGCCGTCCCCGCCCCGCGCGTCCCCGCCGCCATCCTTGTCCCCGGCCTCGGCTCTCCGGCCGCCCCGCTGTCCGCCGCGTCTCGGGCCCGCCTCGCCCGCGCGCCCTGGTCACCGTCCCTGCGCCGCGTCCTCGGCCTCGCCCGCCCTCCCCGAGGGCCCCCGCAGCCGCCGCCCTGGCGCTCCCCGCGGGCCCCGCCGAGGCCGCCTGCGCCCTGTGCCAGCGCGCGCCCCGAGAGCCGGTGCGCGCCGACTGCGGCCACCGCTTCTGCCGGGCGTGCGTGGTGCGCTTCTGGGCCGAGGAGGACGGGCCCTTCCCGTGCCCCGAGTGCGCCGACGACTGCTGGCAGCGCGCCGTGGAGCCCGGCCGCCCGCCGCTCAGCCGCCGCCTGCTGGCGCTCGAGGAGGCGGCCGCGGCGCCCGCGCGCGACGGCCCGGCCTCCGAGGCGGCGCTGCAGTTGCTCTGCCGCGCCGACGGGGGCCCGCTGTGCGCCGCCTGCCGCATGGCCGCGGGGCCCGAGCCGCCCGAGTGGGAGCCGCGCTGGAGGAAGGCGCTGCGCGGCAAGGTGCGCGCGGGCGGCGACCTGTGCGCGGCCCGTCCCCATCCCCGGCCCGGGCCCCCCCCCCCAGCCGGGGTCCCCCCCCCCCACCCCGGGCCCCCCCCCCGCCCCGGCCCCCTCCCCCCCCCCCCCCCCCCCCCCCCGGCCCCGCCCCTGGACAGGGGCTCCGGCCTCCGTTCCCCCCCCCCCCCACTCTGACGGTGCCCTGCCGTCTCTCCCACCCGGGTCCCCGTCCCCGGAGCACGCCTTGTCCCCCCTCACCCATCCCTGGACGGTGCTCTGTCTTCCCTTCTCATTTGCCAGACGGTGCCCTGTCCCTCCCCATCCCCTGGACAGTGTCCTCTGCCCTTATCGCCGGCCCCCGTCGCTGGTCCGTACCCTTTTCCCCCATCTCCCACACTCAGCCCCATGTTTCATTTTCGGACCCCTCCCCCCATCTGAAGACAGAGTCCCTCGGCCGACCCCGCCCCCATGCCGCGCCCCCAGCACCTCATTGCCCAGCCTCCGGGCGTGACGTCACCCCGCAGCAGCCCCACCCCCGCTAGCCCCCAGATCCTGTCTGGTGGACCAGGCAATGAGCCTGGCGCTCAGCTGCTGAGGTCCAGTGCGTCCCCCTCCCTTCCCCCAGACCGCCTTCCCACTCCCTCTCCGCGACCCCCACCCACTCAACGTGGAAGGCTTCGTTGTGCTCTCGACCCGGCCTAGAAACCCGCTGTTGGAGGCCCTGGTTGTAGCTGGGGCCTGGGGACCCCCATGGAGGTGGGGTCACAGAGGGAGTAAAGACAGCCGGGACCTTCAGGGCAGAGACAACGTGTGTGGTCCTGCCTGCCCTAGGGAAGCCCGGAGAGGGAAGCATTCTGTCAGGTGGTGGGTCCTGGGGTCCCCGTGGGCACTGGGGGTGGCTGGACGGGAGCTGGGGTCTGCTCCTGCTGGGGGGCCCTTGGTCTAGGGTCAGTGCACCCTTGAGAGGCCACTCAGCATCACTCCCTTGGCGACATAACAGTAGGGACCGCAGAGCCTGGTCTTTGTCCAGTGGCCTGGTTGTAGTCTGAGCAGGTGTCTCCTATCACAGTTCCTTCTGGAGGGAGCTTAGTGGGGTTGCTGAGACCCCCTCTGGTGCCTTTGGTCTGCCTGTGCAGAACCGAAAGGCCACGGTCACCCGCTGAGTCTGCCCCCAACGGGGCTAGGGCACCCTGGAGCTTCTGACCGTATGCCCACTGGTAACCAGCGTGTCTTTCCAGGAGAACAAGGGGTCTGTGGAGATCATGAGAAAAGACCTGAACGACGCCCGGGACCTGCACGGCCAGGCCGAGTCTGCTGCGGCAGTGTGGAAGGCAAGTGGCGGCAGGCCTGCGGTCGGCCCGAGGAGGGGCCCCTGACCCCATTTGGCAGGGGTGCGGCTGAGTGCCGTGCGCCAAGCAGCACACCCTCCTCCCCGAGGTGGGCAGCGGTGGGGGCGGGAGGCCCCAGGGTGTATCCAGGGGACACAGGTGTCCCTCCCCGCCGTCTGCCTCCCTGCCCTGCAGGGACACGTGATGGACCGCAGGAAGAAAGCCCTGACGGACTACAAGAAGCTCAGGGCGTTCTTTGCCGAGGAGGAGGAGCGTTTTCTGCAGGAGGCCGATAAAGAGGAGCGGTCCCCGGAGGGTGAGGACGCTGACCCGGCCGAGCGCTTTGGGTGCCTGCTGTCAGAGCTGGAGAGGAGGCACCGCAATCTGGGCCTCAGCATGCTGCTCCAGGTGAGCACGCCATTGTGTCCGGACCCCAGGGCAGGGTGCCGGGGCCGCCCCGGGGGGTGGAGGGCCTCAGACCAGCCGCCTCACTGGCCTCCACACAGCCCCTCACCTGGGGACCTGGCAGCCCCTGTCCCCCCTCCTGAGGTCCCCAGGGTGCCATTCTGATTCTGGAAAGGCTGAGTAATCCGCTCCAAGGGCGGGGGGAGTGGACGTGATAAGCTCCAGCCTGGGCGAGTTGTGTGGGGCCGGGTGGGGGGAGCCGGGGGTGGCCGGGTCCAGCATGGCATCTGCCTCTCTCCTCCCTGCCCCCCCTCGCCATGCAGTGATGTCCTGCCCCCTGAGCCAGCTGCAGGCTCAAGAAGCTCCATCCACCCTGGCCTGGCCCCCCGCAGCTCCTCCATGGCCGCCTTCTGGACACACAGCATCCTTCATCCACGAGGGCGTGCACCTAGGTGCCCACGCAGGACGCATACCACAGGTGCCCACCTTGGCTTGCTCGAGACGGTGTCCCTGTTCCCTTATGCTCCGGGTGTGGATGTTCCCCAGGCTGTACACGTTTCACCGTAGAGACCTGTAGCAGGGTATCATTAACCCCAGGGTATCACGACTCTTCATAAAGCTCTTGTCGTTGCCACCGAGTCTTACTGGCCTGGCGTCTCTGGGGCCGTGGTTGTCCCTGGGCAGCCTGCATCGTCCAGACTGGCCCTCACCCCGTGGAAAGGCCACTCGGGCTGGTCCGCTGGACACGCAGACCCCCGCGTAGGCGTCGGGCATGTGCACTAAGGGTACGTTTGGGGTGTACGTGGAGGGAGAGGGACGCTCCCAGCGTCTGGGTGGGGTGGGCGGGCGGGCGGGTCAGACCTGTGTCCGGCTTGAGCCTGCACCTACAGCTGCACCTCTGGCCCGGGGTCTGTGTCCTCGGAGGTCCGTTACCCCTGTCGCCTGGTGTGTGTGCTCAGGTGTGCTGCTTCCTCTCTGCACCGGCTTCCCCTCTGGGGCCGTGGTTTTCCCCAGGGACCTGCCTTATCCTCAGCCTCTGTCCACCCCCTCCCACGTGCCCGCCCTTGGCTGACCTGGGTGTTTCCTGGGGACACCAGAGGAACTGTGTGGGGCACGGGTCACCCCCAGGCCTGGATGCCGAGTTTCCTCGCGCTCTGCTCCTTGCTCCCTTTGCTTCACGTTCCCTCTGATAGACAAGTGTACCGAAACCACGACTTGCCGTCAGCTCATGTTGTAAATTTGTGCACGCGAGGGCAAAGAAAGCAGTGGGGACGAGCGTCCCGCAATGTTGACACACGGGGCCACTAAGGACACTTGAGTCTGGGAGTCGGACCACATCGTGTGGACTTGAGATCCACGGCGCCTTTCCAGAGGAGGTCTCCCAGCACCGTTTCTGTGAGTTTGGGGGTGGCATGCCTGGCACGTGGCCGGCACTCACAAAGCCCCGCACAGAGGGCTCGCTTCAGCTGGCGTCCCTCCTGTCTGTCTCCCTTGCGGCCCAGCCAGTGTCCAGGGAGGCCCTGTGTGCAGGCTGCAGCATAAAGGGGCCTCCTGTAGATGGGACTTAACCTGATGGGCCCCACGCCTCCACCGAGTGACATGGGGGAGACTTGCTTAGGCGGAGGCCAGCTGCAGTCCTGTCTCCTCCCTGGGGACCCGTTCTCTGTAGGCAGACCATGTGACCATGGCCACGTACCCCTGATAAGTAGTCCTCAGCCCGCCGAGTCAGGGGCAGTGCTAGGGGCGTCCCTGTTCTAGATGGGGGTGGAGGACGGGGGCAGGCCCCTGCGCAGCAGGCCGGGAACATCCCAGTGCGGTTGGCTATTGACTCTAGCCAGCTCCACTGCCCACTCGTTCGCTGCCCGAAGCGCCGGGAGTGGAAGCGCCCCACCGGCCTTCAGACCTCGAAACCCGGGCCCCACCTCTGCTCCCAGCCGGCCGGCCGGTGCCCCTCCGCCATGAGCCCCCAGTCCCCGTGGAATGGTGTCGCTCCTTCGGATATCTGCAAGCCCGTGCACAAATGGCATTTTACAGAACCAGCGGGCTGTCTTCACAAGCCCCGGCCCCAGGATGCAGCCCCGCAGGGTTCTCGTGAGCGCCCTGCGGCGCCTCGCTGGTGCCGGGGCGCGTCATTCTGCGTGTTCCAGCTGGGCGCAGGGCCACGAGGGGAGCGAAACCAGGCTGGGCTCTGCGTGGACGGGGAGCAGCATAGATTCGTCCACTGCAAGATCCGGGGTGCTTACGGTTCCTTCCTTCACAGCCCCGATGCGTTTCCCTCCGGTTCCCATTATCCCTCCTGGTGCAGCGGGGCCGTCTGGGGTGTTGGGGCCTGCGGCCTGTGTTCGGTTTCAGGGTCCTGAGTGCAGGGGAGCAGGGCGACACACCGAGGGGCCTTCCACGCTGTGTGGAGGGGCTGTGTCGTGCGGCGGGGCGCAGCAGCCTAGGGAGGGACGCACGCGCCTGTGGTTCCAGAGACCTGCCCGGAAGGCCAGCCAGGTGAGGTTGCACTGCTAGGCCCGGAAGTGAGAGCCCCAGGGCCTGTGAGTCAGGATGTGGTGCGGCGCTGTGGGCTGGGGCCTCTGTCAAACTAACCAGGAGCCTCAGGCCAGCTGGGAGGTGAGGGGGACCCCGTACCCAGGACCCGGCCCCTGTGGCTCTGTGCTGTGCCAGAAGAGCTCCCAAAGCTGACTGCAGGCGGTCGTGCCCGCGGCCACCGTGTATCCGGGAGGGGAGGGGGGTTACTGTGAGCCACAGGGAGAGGTAGGGGGCCGAGTCCAGGACGTGCCATGGCGTGGGGACTGTGTTGCTTCCCTGGGCTCGGCATGTGACCACCCCCGTGGAGCGGGGCCCACCGGGAGATCCCTGATGAGGTCCGTGGAGCTGGCTCGCTGACTCCACACTGACTGACCTCAGGAGGCCCCGCTGAGGACCAAAGAAAGCCCCCACCCCGTGTGACAAGGGCGGACCCCCTGGAGTGGCCAGATGCCGAAGATTGAGGGCGTGATGACGGAGGGCCCAGTGACCCCACTTGGCAGATGCTCCACTCCACGGGTGTCCTCTCCAGGCCCACCGGGCGAGGTGCACCCGGGCACTCCGCGCACTATCGTCGTGCGGGGGCAAGAGCGGGCAGGGCAGACACCAGTGAGGGACAGTCCCGTGGGGGAGGGAGGCCACGGGGCAGGCCACAGCCCTGGGGACACAGGAGCTGGACACAGGGCGACTTGCATGGCTGGGGGCGCTGTGCTGGGTCATGAAAATAGGCGGAATATAAGACAGCACGACTCACCTACATTTGAAACGCGTGCGCGCAGAACAAGGCATGGTTGCAGACACTCCACGCTGTGTGTGGGGAGGGGGATGTGGTTAAGGGGAGTAACAGCAGAGCAGAAGGAGCGGAGCCAAGGTGGGGCGCCTGGGCCCCTCCGTCGGTTGGGCCTCTACCTTCCGCTGGGGTCATGACCCCAGGGTCCTGCGATCCAGCGCTGTGTGGGCTTCCTGCTCAGCAGGAGGCTGCTTCTCGCTCCCCCTCTGCCGCTCGCCCTGCTTGGGCTCACTCTCTCTGCCAAGTAAATAATTTTTTTTTTTTTTACTTTTTAAAGAAAGGGAACCAAGGTGACAGAGTAGGGACTGCGGGTGGAAGGGGGAAAATGGGAGTCCCTGGCTCCGGACTTCACGCCGGGGAAGTCGGTGGGGTTGCAGGGAAGCTTAGGTCCCCTTGGGATTTCTGTCAGTCGTGGCCAGTTCTGTAAGGAGCGCCCGATCTGTGTGTGCGTGTGTCTGCACCTGTGTGTGTGTGCGCGCGTGCAGGGAGCCTTCGTAGGGCAGTATGACCCTGGAGGAGGTTGGGGGCTTCCATACACGAATTTTTTGGACTCAGGTTCTATGAAACCTTTCATGAAGAGGGACGCGCTAGTGGGCCAATTCGACCTGACAGGTAGAAAACCATTTAGAAATGAGGAAATGTCAGTTAAAACGTCCTCAGCAGCACAACAGATGATGGAGTAGGTCATCGGGTCAGAAAGGACACGGCAGCCATCTCCAAAGTCTCGTTTCTACGGGGCAGTTGTGCGCACAGGACGGGGCAAACCTAAATACAAAGCAACGGAAAACGGGACAAGTTCGGGGCGAACGATTATCTTGGAAATGTTCTCAAGCCTCCGGCGAGCTACTAAATTCGTCTGTGACCTCGGACGGGGTCTCCCTCCGCATTGCCTCCGCGCAGGCTCCTTTCCTAAGTTTAGGGATTTTATTCTCACGGCGAGGCTCGGGAGCGCCACGCCACCCCTTCGCCTCCCGGGACCGAGCGGGCGTTCGGGCGTTCCCTGGCCCTCGCGCCCCGGCCGGCTGAGCGCGGGGCTGAGCGCGGGGCTGAGCGCGCCTCTGCGGAGCGCGGGGCCGCAGCGCCTGGCCGGTGCCACGGCGACCAGCAGGAAGGCGACACTCGGGCAAGGCCAGCCCTCTGGGGCTCCTCCCCGCCGCGGGCTCGCGAGGTCGCCGCGCGCCGACTGCACGCCGGGCCCACCAACCTCGGAGGAACGCGGAGCGTGACCGGGAGCCTGAGGAGTGTGGCCGAGCGAAAGGCCCATTCCTCTGCCCGCCAAGCCCGCAGGGGCGCCCGGGAGGCTCTCGGGTCCCCGCGGACACTGACGTCTCCAAAGCACGCGCAACCGGAGCGCCGGAGGACGCCGCTCTCGGGCTGCATGCAAATGAGGCGACTTTGCAGCTCTCGTCTGATTGGGCAAGCCGCAGGCTCGGCTTCGCGGAGCGGCCAATGGGGCTCCCGGACGGCACGGTGCCCGCACCCCCATTGGTGGGCGCAGCATGCAGCGGCGCGCTCCCCGTATAAAATCCCCCCGGCCAGCGCCCAACTCGCAGCCCTGCGGCCGCGGCGAGCGGGGAGGCTGGGCCAGCGTTGTGCGTTGTCCGGCGCCGCCTGCAGCTAGCGCGCACCTCGCCGGGCAGCGTCCTGCCCAACGTCCAGGCCCTGCGGCTGGTAGGTCTCTCCCTGTCGCGTGCGTCCCTGTCCTTGCTTGTGTTTGTGCACCCAGAGTCCCCGAGCCAAGGCTGACACACGAGCTGGCAGTGGCCCTGACCCCGACCTCCGTGCCTCTGAGGCCGGGGACGCCCGGAATCTGAGCATCCGGGCCTCGCTGGGCTCCCCCCGCCCCAGGTACAACAAGCCTTACCGCAGGGCCTGTCTCTCTGGGTCGGTCTTCCTCTGTTTGGGAAGGTTGCGTGCCCCGTAAAACTTGGGTGACATCAGTTTGTGGGCTTTTCTCCTGTGAATCTGCCCCTGTCACTTGTTTTCAGACCCAGCCAGGGGCTGAGGAAGGTTGAGGAAAACATTTTCCTCTCCCTTTGCCCTCACCTTGTGTTGTAAGCTTCACAGCCAGGAGCGCTCGGCAGGGGAATCCTGGTCCTTCCACGTGGCCACGGCCGGCAACAGCCTGGCGCGAAGGATTCCGGAGGTGAGACTTACTCTAGTCTCTGCCTGGCCCAGTGCCACCGGCGCAGTCCGCCCGCGCGCCCCAGCTGGGAGGAGGTGGGCACGCGAGCGCAGAGAAAGGGAAGGCCGGAAAATGAGTGAGTTTCCAGGGTGGTTTTAGGCGCACGAGGGCCACGCCTGTTTTTAGCACGT